TTGATTAATTTTGTGATTGTACAGCACTTTGGTCAGTGGTACTGTTTTAAAGTGCTATATAAATAAACTTGCCTTGCCTCTTTTCGCTAGTTGTTAAGCTAAACCTACAAAGTGCAAATGAGAGCTCTGCTTAGAGGAAATGACACACTAGGGAACGCCCTCTTTGGGGCGTAGCTTAGACAGAGCCCAACAAAAGAAGCTACTACATGTTGCTTGTTGCCATTTTGATTGTTAGTTCTTAGAGTAGCAGCTGTATTTTGGTATTAATAAATGGGATTCATGAATTCAACTCTCTGACTCTTCTGTAACCTCATACATCAAGAACTCAGCATGGAGAACGGATGATTCTCCTTCAGGGCCAACAGATTAAAGTGGCAGTGGATCACATTTAAGATTATGAACTATGTCTTCCACAGGAAATCACGACTTTGTGTTTCCTCTCATAAAATCACAGCTAATCTACTTGAAGTTTGTGGTTAGAATCAAATGAATTATCTAAACATGTAACAGGTGTAAATACTTTGGTAAACTTGTTGGAAACACATTTTATATGAAACATGACAGAGATTATGATCTTAAACTGATAAAGAAGATACTAATGCAAACCTCAGAAACGCCATGCAGACAGAGCTCCAGAAACCTGAACCTTGACCTTTGACCTAAAGGTCAAGGTAAAAAACCTTCAAAGAGATGAAGTCTTTGTTTCCTGAGGGACGTTTTGTCCCTGTGGACACTCAGTGTCCCTGCAGGTCAACAGGACAGAGGTCAAGCCGCCACTCACCTTCTCCAGAGTCAACTCTGTGGTGCAGATGTTCTCCGTGGAGGAAACATTTTCACAGGTTAGCACCGACGTCTGAAACTCCTGCAGAAGCTCCTCGACTGAAGTTGTGGGACATAAAATGTCATTTCAGATGAGAGCTCTAGAAATCTACCCAGATAGCACACAACGTTAAATCAACGTTGAATTATAGTTAGAATCGTTGATTTTTGGTTGAAGTCGACAAATGACGGTGGATCAACCATCAAACAACCATCCAATCAAACCATTGAAACTGTGTCATTGAATCAACGTTGTTTGGTGGTTGAAATCTGATGTCTGATCAACGTTTGATCAATGTTGAATCAATGTCAGCTGTTTTGCCCCACCCTTCCCCTCCTCTCCTCCTCATCAGAGCTCTGGGTCAGAGCATTTTATTAGTGAGCGGTTCTCACGTTTAAATTAACCACTGCAGAGGATAGTCAGTGGTGATTCATTTCTGTACATTTTCTTACTTGTTCATAACAATTCTCACTGACTGTTTGATATATGGACACAAAAACATCTACAACGTACTGAGTGGAGCGGTCCACCCCTACGTTTACATGAGTGGGATGTCCCAATCACACAGCTGCTTCGCTGTTGGCTTGTTGGCAAAAGATGTTAATTCAGTGTTGAATTCTGATCACAAAGGTTGAATTTATGGTTCAAGTCAACGACAGAAGCTGGATCAACCATCAAACAACCATTCAATTCTAGCCAATTAACATCCAGTGATTGAAATGCCAACATCAAATCCAGTGTTTTTCAGCACCGGTCCTCCAGGCCCTGCAAGTTTTAAATATTAATTTAACAGTGAGTGTACATGAGGAACCATACGGTTTGTATTTGTTCTCAGACCTGTAACCAGTTCACTGTTTAATCTTTCAATGTCTTTCAGAACTTTTCAAATGTTTATCATCTTTCTAACTGGCACCTTCCTCACTTTTATTTTTGTGTTTTTCAGCCGTTGCTCTGCAGTTTGACTGAAAGCCGACTGACTTGAAACTGTCAAGAAGTGGCTTCATTATGCGCCAGAACGAGAGGAAGACATCGCGAGGAATCAAAGTGACGCCAACCAGAGTCAAACTGGGGTTACCGCAACTTGTCCTGTTTCCCTGGTTCATACAGTACAAAGCTTAACCTCATGGACTCTGTTCTTCTGTGGACAACAGACAGACTGTGGACAACCCATGTTGTCATTTTTAACCTTTTGTACACAGTTTACCCATCATCTGCCAATAATATAGTGTTTAACACCAGTGAAGAAACTTTTAGTGGCATGTTATGATGTAGACCATCAGACCTAAAAATGTACATAAATCCGTAGCTTTCATTCAATATAAAATCAACCCAAATCCACATTCAGATGATGGTTGAATCAACGTTGATATGTCAGTTATGGTTGAAAACCTAACGTTGATTCAATGTTGTTTCAGTCATTCTGTGCTATCTGGGTGGTGTCCGAATCTGGAAGACTTGCAGCCTCACCTCCTCCTCGCCCAGAGCTCCAGCCAGCAGCCCAACAGTTGGATCCGACCGGGAAGGTTCTGCCGCTGTCCAGGCAGATGGGTTGGATGTAGTTGCTCAGGGTGGGGCGTGTGGACAACTGAACCAGTGCGATGTTGGACCCGGTCAGGTTGCTCATGGTGATATTCGACACGTTGAATGACGACTCAAATGGGTTGGACCCATTCTGCTTCAGACGACCCAAAACCACCGTCCACTCAGACACATTAGGAGAGCTAAGGCAAGAAGATTAACTGACTTAGGACTGAAACTTAAAAACATTGGATATATAGCAACCTGCAAATCTAAAGTGAATGTAGAAAACATGCAGGCGTAGCTCCTGTCATCCAGAAAAATGAAATCCAGAAGCTTCAGCAGAAAGAAGCTGGACTTCTTCTCTCCATTCATCTTTAATTATAACTCACACAACTTCCTGAACATGAATTATAAGCAGATTTCTACAAATCCTGATAATGTGAGGTGTTCATGTAAAGATGAGCTGGTTAATGCCACAGATCCAACAGAACCAGCTCTGTGGTTCTTTTGCTGTCTATGTTTATATGTCATTGATCAACTCTTTGACTAGGGCAGTCTCAGGACTCTGGTAACCATGGAAACCAGACTGAAAGTTGTTAGAGCAGTTGGTCATTGTTAAACTGTTTAACTGTTGAAACACTTTTCTCAATGATTTTCTGGCCAGCCCAAATGGAACCACAGGTCTCGGCAGGCTGGGCCCTGGACATGAGGACCAATGCAAACACACCGGTACCAGACTGGGATCTTTTGTGACTCACTCTGAGAAGCAGGCAGCGTTGCTCAGGACGTACTCCATGGACACCAGAGTTCCTCCACACTCATGCTGACCGTTCTTCTGCAGACTCGCCATGGACGGCCACTCACCAGCTGCCGCCACAGAACTACCGCCCAGAATGCCAGAGTTCAGTGGAGCCTGGCCGCAGTATATCGCTGGGAGATTAAAGCACAGTCGCACTTCAGAACACATTTTAGATAACATCTTTAATTATAACTCACACAACTTCCTGAAGATGAATGACAAGCAGATTTTTACAAATCCTGGACATGTGAGGTGTTCATGTTAAGGTGAGCTAGCTGAAATGTTATGGATAGAAGAGGAATTACTAGGTGTGGGGGTCGGGATTGGTGGCACGCCAGAGCAGGAGACGCTCAGGTCGCTGTTGGTTCCGGTAGATGTGTAGGTGATGAAGCCCGGCTGGTTGGTGGTGATCTGGGTTTTGATCCAGCTCTCATACTGGGAGACTCTGGCATAGACTCCTGGGAAATTTGGGTTAGCACAGCCAATGCCAAAACTCACAATTCCTGACTGAATCCAGCGGCCAGCTTGTTTGCTCACCATCGGACCTCCTGAGTCTCCCTTTAAAAAGAGAAACGTGTTGGAGGAGATGAGATGATCTGCTGGATGAAACCAGATTCTAACAAGCAAAAATAATCACCTGACAGGAGTCCTTTCCTCCCTGCAGTAATCCTGCACAGATCATGTTGTCAGTGATGGTGGTCGGTGCATAGCCGCTACATTTACACTGTCTGTTGCCCACAACTGGTATCTCCACCTCCATGAGGTTTTGAGGAGATGGAAGAGGAGCTGAGGAGACACAGATTCAGAGTACAACAGTTTAAAGGTTCAGTCCTTGAAAACATTTCCAAACCGAGGAAGAAATACGGTTCAAACTATGAGTTTGGTAAACAGGAAGGACAACATTAAGTTTTGTTAGTGATGAACGTTCTCCATTAGGGTGTGAAAAACAAATGCACAGGAAATGTTGTCAAGGAAACACAGGTGCACTTTAGCCGAGTAGTCAGAGGAGAGACTACTGTGGCGTTAATCAGTCATTTAAAATCTCACCACCAGATCCAATGTTGCCCCAGCCGGTGACCCAGGAGTTGACGCCGCTGTAGAAGGTGCTGTCCGCCGCCGCCAGGCAGACCGGCGAGATGTAGTTGTTGAACGTTACAGCTGAGGAGAGCTTTATCAGGGCGATGTCGTTGTCGTCAGTGGCAGCAGAGTATTCAGGATGAACAATGATCTGCGCTGCTGTGCGACTCTGTTTGTTTGGGTTGCTTCCCTCCTGACTCTGAAGGCCCAGATACACGGCGCTGATAGGGACTGCGTTGCCACTGAGCCCATCATGTTCAGAGACAGAAAAGTCAGCAGTTTCAAAAACAAACCAGATACCAAGCGATGGTAATTCAATATTGAATTATGGTTAGAAAGGTTCATTTTTGGTTGAAGTCGACGATTGATGGTGGATCAACCATCAAACAATCATCCACTTCTAGCCAAGTAACCAGATTCATTAAATCAATGTTGTTTTGTGGTTGAATTCTAACGACTGAAAGTCCAACGTCTGATCAATGTTGAATCACTGGCCCGGTCCGGTGCTCAGCGCCCCTATGAAGAGTGGCTCAGTCAAAGTCACATCAGGGGTCAGGGGTCAGAACGGCCCTGGGTCGTAGCTTCACATCCAAAATGGCGGACTGGTCACCGTTTGGCTTTCTGCTGCTAAAAACTACAACTTGTTTAAGAACAACTAGAAGAAAATATTTTAAATGTGCAGTAAAGGTATTTCTGCTGGAGATTTGTTTTGTGACTCGTTGAATACAGAAAATTCAATATAATCCCTCATGTTCAGTGAAACCAAAATTATTTCAATACTTTATTCGCTCTGTGAACTTTGCCATATTTCTAAGATGGAAAAAATACACATTAAAATGTTCTAATAATCAATTTATCTCTATGTGACTTGATGTTTTTAACCATCTGGTTTATGCAGCTAAAGGTTAGTTTGGCATAAAGTGGAGCTAATAAAGATCAAGTTCAGGACAAACATACGGCAGATATGAAAAATAAAAATGTCCTTTTTAAAAGAAACTGAATGTTGACTTTATGAACCAAAAATGTAACAATAATTCATCAGTTTTCTCCTCTAGTCTGAGAAGGAAACATTTCAAAATCATGTTAAGAACCAAGCAGCTTTCTATTCCACTGCCATAAAAAACCTGATATTAGTTTAATAATTATGTGTAAAGTTTCCCCTTTAATGACTTTCTGCTAAATTAATTCTAAAATATCAATTCCTGTCGTTTTGTGACTGAGATTTTGAGACAAACATTTTTAAACTGTAGCTTTTCATTAGTTTTTAGAAAGTTTTCAAAAGTGGATTTTACACAATAAATCTATTCCATCTTTAAGTTTTATTATAAAATTTGATCCAACAGGGATGAAGAGTTGAACTATGACATATTTAATCCTAAGTTTTATTCACAAATATTGCTTTCTAAAAATCAGCTCCATTTTTAAAGTGAAATAATTTTACATCACCAAACTTTATTCCAATATGTTAATATCTTCATTTAAGGTTTGAAGTTTGTCTTTCATTTGTGACATTTTGTTTTACTTTCCTCAGTTTGTTGTTATTCTTTTTTTCTGCTCAGTTTATCAAATCAAACCTTTTATCACTAATGTGCCTTGTCATTATATTTTCTTTGAATTTTCTATAAAGATGAAAAAACAAAACATTGCCATTGAAATCATTTCAAATCACTTGTTTTTTAATTGTTTATTATGATGTGCTTAGATGAGCCTCTGATCCAGAACAGCTGATTCACATGGTTGCATGACCGTCTGCAGCCATCAGTCCTGCAGAAGGCTGTTAATCACCACAGACTGAATCCAGGTGCAGAAGAACCGCTGATCTAAACCTGCCGATTCTTGGGTTGGTAACTGGTTAAACTGGACTATTACTACTGGTACAGGATCTTTATCAGCATATTAATATTTTTGAATGAATTTAATCAACTTATTTGGACATGTTTGTGGTTGATGGAAGATTGAACCAGCTATTGGATGGAAGTTTATCCTGTATAAACTGTAAATCATTTTTCTAACTACAATACAAATCACCTTTTGCTCTATTTTTCTGTCTGTTAAATCAACCCTGATCCTCCCTGAGTTTTATCTTTAGGTTTTCTGATAAACAGCCTTTATTTTAAATAGATTCCCTCATTTTAACATGAGTGCAGCATCATAAATGCTACATTACGCTGCAGCTTGATGGGTAAATGTTACTGTATTTGTCAACTAAGATAAATAATAAATATTCATTAGTGTCCTAATTAATTTAACTGAGTGTACATGGGGAACCGTACGCTTTGTGTTGGTTCTATAACCAGTACACTATTTAATATTTCTATGTGTTTCAGAACTTTTCTAATGTTTATCATCTTTCTGACCAGCGCCTTCCTCACTCTTATCTCTGTGTGTTTCTGCAGTTTGACCCAAAGCTGACTGACTGCAGGGAAACTGTCAGGAAGTGGCTTCATTAGGCACCACAGTGGGAGGAAGGCACCAAGGAGCCAAAGAGACGCCAACCACCTGTTAGCCCAACTGGTCCTGTTTCCTGGTTCATTCAGAACAAACTGAACCTGCTGGACCTTCATGGACAATAGACTGATGTTCTGACAAAAAGGAGTCCAATATGTTTACAGATCTATGCCTGTTTTCTAAAATAAAATGTTATGTTAATGCCATGTTGTATTTTTTTAAGTTTATGTTCACACATTTTTGGAAATATAGTAACGTAAGATAATTATGAACGACATGATACCATCATCTGCCAATAAAATAATGTTTTACACCAGTGAAGAAACTTTTAATGGTTTGCTATGATGTAGACCTAAAATGTACATGAATCAACATTGATTCCTTAACTTTCATTCAATATAAATCAGCACAAATGTGCCTGCAGCTCCACAATCAGATGATGGTTAAATCAGCATTGATATAGTGTCAGTTATGGTTGAAACAATAACATTGATTCAACACGTGAGTCACCGACAGCTTTCAACTTCGTGTCAATATCAGCCTTTAACGTTGTTTCAGTGTTGATTCTGTCATAATTTTCTATCTGGGAAACCAGTTTGAACAGTAAAGTTGTTTTCTTCAGACAGAAGACTCCAGCTCAGATCAGAAGGATTAGATTTCTTACAGTGGGACACAGTGAGCTGCAGTCAGAACCCACTGGTTGTTGATCAGAGATCCTCCACAGAAGTGGCCCGAGGAGCTGTGCAGACTGACCTGCCAGGGCCACGACCCTTCAGGAGCCACCGCTCCTCCAACGATCCTGGTGTTTAGGGGTGGTTGACCACAAACTGAGGACACAAAGACATCTCATCACTTCTGGAGAATCTGCAGACCAGGACAGGAAATCGACTGAAACGTCATGGCAACCTGACATGAATGCAGAGCCAGGTGACCATGTATGATCACAAGGAACCTTTTAAAATAAATGGAGTAGATTTACTGCAATGTACTTTTTACTTCTGCTTGAGTCCAATGTCTGACTCCTCCACCAACCTGGAGTTACTGAAGAACCAGGATGTAAAAACCAGTGATGTACCAGAAGTTTACTGGATGAACTGGGTTCAAAGGTTTTATGTTGTGATGAACTGAGATTAGTTTCTTTTGCCTGAAATTATTTAATATTGATGTGATTTCTTTTATTCACAAGAACCTAAAGATCATGTAATATTTTGTCTGAGTTACACAGTAATACTGAAGTACTCAGTACATCAGTAGCTTTGGTTCCAAATACTATTTTCCTCAAGTATTTTCTTGGTTTATCACGTTTAACGTGAAAGTGTTGATGGTCTTAGTCGCCTCTACATGAATGTCAGAGTTTGGATCTGGTTTTCCTTGAAGGACTCGATCAGAAAACACCAAGAAGACCCAGACAGGAGAGTTAAGATGCAGGAACTCAGAGAAAATTTCTCCTACCTGATAGCTGAGAAGAAGATTCTGAAAAATGAAACACAGCAACAAGTTAAACACACAGGGAGTTATTTTTATTTAATTCTTTAATTTCCTACAGAAATATTATTATGAACTCAACATGATTAATCTGAACTCAGCTTTTAGAAATTCTGGTACCGGATCCTGCAGAACCAAAGACCCATCCGAAGATCGGACTGGGTCATGGCCTGTTACCCGTACACGTCAGAAGGTCGAGAGAGTGGATGGATTAACTTTGACCTTTAACCCTCTAACTGAGGCCTGTAGAGATTTTGGTCATTTCTCTGAGCTTCATGCTCTGACCTTTGACCTTGGGCTGAATCTGGTGGGATATCTAAGATGTTTTCCTCTCTGGAGAATGGTGGACCTCAGATGTCTGGAGATTCCCTTGCAGTGAACAGAACCTTAAGATCCACCAAGTAACTTCAAACTGGCAGCAGGTGAGTCTGGGAACCAAAACCGTCAGGACCGGCGGGCCCCAGGGCCCCCGGGCCCCCGGGCTGGGTTCTCCCTAGGCACTAGCGACTGGACCTCAGCGAGGGTCAGACATGACTCCACCGCTCTGATCCAGGATGCAGACAGATAGCAGGTGGATCGGGCGGTCCACGGGTCAGAACCATCTGGAGAACTCCCCCGCTCTGCCTCGCTTCACCATCCTCTCCTCTCTGCAGTGAACCATTGGGACTGTAGAGAGGAGAGGATCAGTTCTCCACCCAGGACGTACAGGTCAAAGGTCAGGAAAAGGTCAGCTACCATCTCTGCAGACCCCACACATCCTGGACATGAACTTGTTTAGACTTTTGCTTTCAGGGAGCGCTAAAAACTTTAACAGATGTCCTTAATGATCAGTTTTAAATGTTGACCTTGTGACCAAATCTAAAATCATCCTTCACTTTTATCCTCAGTGACAGTTTGATTTCACTCTAACCAATGTGATAAACATCAACATTACATAATCTATTCTTCTGACTAGAATGGTATAGATTTATCCAAGCTCTCTTCCTATTGGCTGATCAGACCCTCATGGTGGCTCCTTCTCCAACAATAAACTTTTTTTTAGCTCTATTTGCCTTTATTTCATAGTTAATTGACAGGAAAGTGGGTAATGAGAGAAGGGGGAAGACATGCAGCAAAGGTCGCCAAGGCTGGGAATCGAACCTGCGACAGCTGCATCGAGGACTGAGGCCTCCATATGTGGGTTGTGCTTAACCCCTGCACCACCACAGCACAACCCAACAAAAAACTTCTGATAAAAGTTAAACCTTTAAGCTACTTCAATTTCTTTGCATTGAATTTTCACCTTTTAGCCATAGCAATGGTCTTTAGAATCAATTAATTTTTACTTTAATCTTAAGAAAATAAACTAATAATAATAAAATAATGGATCCAATTAATCAATAATTTAAAGCAAAGTGAAAGAATGATCTCAGCTGAGGCTGATTGTGGTGCTGAATTCTGAAGTAAATGATGTATTTTAACATTAACAGCTGCGACCAATCCCAGGTTAACGAGCAGATAATTAATCATTAATTAATCATTAATCATCTTTGCTATTGCTGATGTCTTTCCATCCTGGCATTTTCATCAGTTGCAGCGTCTTTGAATGGTTAACCTGTTTGACTTAAGATGAAACTCAGGAATGTTTCCTTGTGTGAAGAACAGTCTTTATTTGTTCTAGGAAAAATATTTGCTTTAGTCATTTGGTTCGTGAATAGAAACCAGATCCTGACAGACGAACAGAACCGGTTTTATATCTGTCTTGGAATCCGTCAGCTAGTCTCTCATCTGTTCTTGGTAATAATTTTGTTTAAACAAGCAGTCGTGTATTTAGAGCATAATAAGCTTCATATCTGGTGGTCATGGTGGCAAATGTTCACTAAACACCTGAAGTTTCTCCTTCAGCCTTTAAATGTCAAAAACAGCAGAAACTTTCAGATTCTGACTAAATCAATCTCTGCACATTTATAAATATGATTTATCTTCACATCTACGTTAAAATATAAGGCAGACAATACTACTTTATTTATAAAGCTAAGGACAAAAATTAAAGCAAATAAAACATTTCAATATACAACTGATATGATCAAAAGTTCAAATAAAATAGGAAGTAGCAACAAGAAAACAGAACATAAAGAAAATCCAAACTGTTTAACAATATTATGATGATTTTTTATTCTAATTTTAGGTCAGAGAAACTTTTTTCTGACTCGTTCAGGGACTTTTGATCCAATTTCAGACAAATTTTAGCAAAAAGATTTTTCTCTGTTATGCAGAGAGCTGCTAGTTAAAAACTACATTTTCACACAAAATCAAAATTTTAGCTCCAACCTAATTTAGAAATCAGAAAATTGATTCTCTACATGTTCATGAATAGAAAATTCATTCAGTGGGAAAAAACTTGAACTTATTTATAACCAGGAAAACCCTTTTTCTGTTTGACAAAATCAGAATAATTTGAAGATTAAATGCTGTTTTCTGACATGTTGTCACAGGTGAAGCTGATTGGTGGAGCCGATGCAGGTGAGATTCCTACCTTGAGTAAACAGAGTCAGCAACGCCGCCACGCAGATCGCCTTGCAGAGCGCCATCTCTGGAAGTTAACATCCACTGCTCTGCTGCAGTTTAAGAAGACCTGGCCAACAACACGCCCCCACCTGTCCCTCCTCCCAGCACACACCTCAGCCACTTCCTGTCTGCAGGCGAACTTCCCCTCAGCTCCAGACTGCATGTGATTTATTGACAAGTTAAACACACCAGTGTTTTATTTACACACCAGATGGAGAATAAACGTAGGCGAGTTTAAATATGACCGACTTAATCAGACCAGCTGGACGACGCATGAGGGACATTAATCTTCTGATAACATAATTATCAAGAGATATTTTCAAATTTCCTGTTGACTTAAAAAACATTTGAACTCAGAACCATGAGGGGGCGCTGGGGGAACCCAGAACATGGTGGTGGCAGCTTCATGCTGCAGGGAGGGAACATGTGACAACTAAAGGGAAAAAATGAGCCAAATTCAGAACAAACCTGAATGCTAGAGGCGAAAGACTCGGTCAGAAGTTCATCTTCCAAAAGAAAAACAAACGAGCGTGAATGTTTGGTTCTGAAGGCCAGAATGACGCAGCATTTTGATGCTGCAGAACCACAACGTCATTCACTGAGAAGAATGTAAGCATCTTGCTCATTACACACACACACACACACACACACACACACACACACACACACACACACACACAGCATGAGTCAGCAGTTACTAATGTATAATTAAACCTCCTGACTGACAGCTTTCCTCTCATGTTCCAGTTATGTGTTTTTTTCTGCTCTGTGTGAAAACATCTCAAGATGAGTCATGAAGGAAAAGCCGAGCGTCTGAGTTTCAGGTTCTGGGAACTGGGCCGGTTTAGCAACCAACTATAAAGAACGGTTCTGAAAAGAGGATCAATGAGAGCCGGGTACCGGTACAGAACCAAGGCATGAAGGGAAAAGACCCGACGTCTCTGGTTCCTGGCAACAAATCCAACATCTTCCCATGTTTGAGCCGAAGCTCTGAAAGCATTTTGATTCCTCCAGATGATCTGATCTGCATGGAAACCAGTTTATCTGTGACCGACTGAACCAACCAGCTGCACTGGTTCCGATGAATTGTTCTTTGTTCAGAACATCAGATAATAAAGCTGATTATATCTTCATCACATGGAGTGTTTGTGCGTAAAAAACAGGTCATACCTCCTGTTTTCCTCACAGGATCATTTCAGTCCAAACTTCCCCTTCATGTCACATCGTTACATAAAAACAGCAATTATGATGCTATTATTAGCATCATAATTATTTCTATTAAAGTCAGAAGTTTACTCTGTAAAACTTTATTCCTTCAATATTCTTTGACTCATTTCTCCTGGCAGGATTGTGAATTAGTGAAATTTAAACTATTAAAGTAAATCCTGATTAAAGAGAGAATAAATGATCCAGGTCATTAAAAATAAGAGATGTTACCAAATCATTAGAAAGAGAAATTTCGAATGAAAAGAGTCCAAATCCTGATCCTGTGGAAACGACCCACTCCAGGTTTTATCCGCTCCTCTGGACCAGCAGGAGGCGCTGGAGGTCCAGGCTTTAATTAATATTTTAATTTATTTTAGCAGGATACAATAAACCATTAAGTTAAAAAAAAAAAAAAAACTCTTTTCTCTTGGGAACAAGGAGCTGCAGCTGAAATGGATTCAACTAGAAACCAGTTAACCAGTAACTGGTAACCAGTAGCAGCTAACTGGTAACCTTTGTGCTTCTGGACCTGGACCGGCTTCGAGGTTCTGATTTCTGGGATCATGTTTTCCATGATGTCACACAAGGAAGCAGCGGCTGCAGATTTTGTAATTGAACCAATCAGAGGCTTTCAGTCATGACATCATCATCTGGGTTTTCCCCGGTTGCTGTATGTAAACTTATGACTTTGCTGTGGCGCTGAGTTCACAGAACCTTTAACCGGGTCACGATTCCTGGAAACAGGTAATTACTCTGAATAAACTAATTACGAGTCTGTTTACTCTGCAGTTTAACCTTTAACCTTTACTAGGAAACATTCTTCAGAAACCAAATGGTCCAGATCACATTACTGGTTCTGACCCGACTGGTTTATGCCGAGACCAGTTTATTATAAAACCTTCATAATGTCTGAAACATCATGTTTGTGATTTAAACTCCCAACATGATTTATGACCCAGATCAAACCCTGACCTCTGACCTCCCATAGCTACATTTCAGTCATTATTCAGAGCAGCTTTAGAATCATGGCTGAATACAAATGCACACCACACTTTTCAGATTATTTTATTTAAAACCTGGAATCATTTTCCTTCACATTTTATGTTTTATTCTTTGTGCCGTTCTGTCACATAAAGCCCAGAATAATAAAATCAGAAGTTTAAAGGGTGCCAATACTTTTGCAGGACTGAGAACAGCAGGAGACTCAGACTAGAGCGCCCCCTGCTGGACATTACCAGGTATTAATGACAAACAGGAGATTTTTAAATGAACTTAAAACTTTTTAAATGTTTAAGTTTTAAACCTGAGATCTGCCTGGTGAGGAAGGGGTTAACACCGCTGCCCCTTCAAATCCCTGCAGGGCCTCCATGTTGGGATCCAAGATGGCCGACGCCACTGCACCTTCATCACCGGAGGGCGGTGTCCTAAGATTTGGTTCTGGAGGTTCCGGTTCGGTTCCAGATGCTTCCCTGCAGAACCTGCTGACAAGCCATCGACCAAACGTTTCCTGGTCCGGTTCTGCTGGTCCGGTTCTGGGTGTTTTGCTGTAACTGGACCTCTGGGTTTTCGTCACTCTGGACGTTGCTTTATAATTCTGGTTCCAAACTGCAGGAGGGTTTTGTTTTATTTCCAGTTTTTAATAATTAATGTGAAGAAAACAAACATTAAATTTTTGTTTGAAACGTGTCAATAAATGAAGAAAGAATTTTTATTCTGAAGCTTGAAGGAACCAGAACCGGGTTTTTCCTGAGAACATTTATTCTATGAAAATATTAACAGATTTATAACATTTATTTACAGTTCAGGTGATGAAGACGAGCAGCTCCTCTTCCTCACTTCTTCGACAGCTTGGCCTGTTTGTTCTTGGGAGGCGCCCACTTGAGACACATGGTGTCCACTGTGGACAGAGACAGAGGACATCAGAGACAGGAAACCGTTGAAGACATTTTACTGTCTGTCAATGTCTCTGCTGGACAGACAGAGGACAAGGTGTCCCCCTGCTGGACGCCATCAGGTTTAGAAACACGTAGAAACAGATCTAGATGTTTTTCTCCGTTTCTCCCAGCAGACACTTTCCATGCTCTTATTGTGAAGGTCAGAGGCTAGTCTTCCTGCAGGGGGCCGTCCCGTCCCGGTTTCCCACCCCCCGGTCTCCCACCCCTCGCCCCCCGGCTCACCTGTGATGGGCGGCTTCTTGTACTGGGCGCTCTTCAGGTGCTCCTCCACCAGTTTGGGCGTGACACAGATGACGTGTTGGCCCTTCCAGTACTTCACCATGTTGAGCGACTGCAGAGTGCTGATGATGTCACTCTGAGTGATGCTGGTCATCTGGCTGGAAGACAGCAGCGGGTCAGCAGGTTCTGGTTCTGCTAGGAACCAGGTTGCTCGGACCAGAACAGAAACTATTTTAAATGTAAACACTAAATCGCAGTAAACAGCCGATCGTGTGATCGTCTCTGAGGGGTGTGCTGAATTTCTGAAAGTCCTCTGGCTGCGGCTCAGACCCCCCTCCCGGTGCGGGACCGACCTGAGGTCCTTGATGGACAGCGTCCCCCTGAAGTCCCGCAGGATCTCCAGCAGAACCCAGGACCAGTAGCTCCGGTAGCTCAGCTTGCCCAGATCTGACAACGGCTTCTCCGGCGAGCCGACCGCGTTCTCCAGCTTGGACAGCTCGTAGCCTGCAGAACCAGAACCAGAACCAGAACCAGAACCAATCAGGACCAAAGGGTAGAGTCCTACCTGGCCCTGAATGGACCCAAAACCAAAGGTGGATTCTGTGATGGGATCCGGACCATCACAGAATCCGGACCAGGACACGTTTGGTCGATGGCTTGTCGACCAATGAAGATAAACATGTTTCATGTTTATCTTCATTTAGCAGCAGGTTAACTTTATATCATTAATGCTACGATGACCTTTGACCCAGAAAAGATGGTTAGACACAGGACTTCCAGATAAATGTAACAGCGCTAACAGTAGCAACGCTAACAGCAGTAACAGTTGCAGCACTGGCAGTAGCGTCACTATCAGTAGCAGCACTAGCATCACTAAGAGTAGCAGCACTAGCAGTAGCAGCGCTAACAGCAGGTCAGTTGTCTCCATCTCCTCGTTGGTTTTGTTTGTTATGAAATTAATTTATGATCCATAAAACCTTCAGAACTATAAACTTTACATTTCTGAGGTAAAGAAGTTAAGTGGATTAAATTGTTAATATATTCTACAACTAGTGAGGCTCTGTAGCACCAACGGCTCAGGTAGACAGAACCCTAAAGCCAGCCCTGACCCTTGACCCCTGACTTACTGAAAGCTATGAGGAACTTCCCGTAGCCTCTGCGTTGGTACGGCGGCAGCGTCAGAATACACGCCACGTTGTTCCCATCTGGAGATTCTTTTTCCTGCAGAAACAAAACAATCAGACCTGATCATTACCATCATGGTGTCTTAATAACTCAAAGATCTGAGCAGAACCACTGGACCCGTCGGTACCAGAACGCCTGCAGAGCCTTCAGGTTGGCGTGTTGAATCTTAAACCAGCTGACCGTTGGTGATTTCACATCATAATTCAGATTTTATTCATTAAATCATCCGTTTGCTGCTGACTGGGTGAAAGTGGCCGAAGCGGTGGCGTACCTTGGAGAAATAGCCAACGATATGCGCTCCCTGCTTGGTGACTTCGGTCAGAATGTAGAAGATGAACGGCTCCACATCAAAGTAAAGCGTCTTATGGTCCAGGAACAGCTTGGCCAGCAGGCACAGGTTCTGGCAGTAGATCTGAGGACAACAGTCCAGTAAGACACCGCTGTCCCCAAGACGACCACCAGAGGGCGAGCGAGCTCACCTTGTGGTCCCGGCCGTCCACCTCATAGACGGAGATGTTGGTCCTGCGGTAGATCTCCTTCCCTGGAGGCTGCCTCCACTGGCAGTGAGACTGAGGAGGAGAAGGTCAAAGGTCAGCTGTGCTGATGAAACCGCAGCTTCTCCAGGCTGAACTTACTTTGACCCCAACAGCGTCATGTGACCAGGGTTCAAAAGCAACAGCTGGACTCACCAGGTGGTGTCTGAACGTTTTCTCGTACTTCATGTACTTCAGGCAGAACTCGCAGATCCAGAGCTTGGGCTGCTTCCCATAGTCCTCTGGGAACGGAGAGAAGTACCAGGCGTCGATCTCAAAGTTCCCGATCTGGATCTTATCCACGTACTTCACCTTGGTGATCTGAGGAGACGGAGGAGTGAGGAGGAGACCTCCACCCTAGCAGCTTATCGGGGTAGCACAGGTAGTGGGAGGTACGCACCGCCTCATGCTCCTTCTCCAGAGCAGCTGTAGTCGGGTCCATCTCGGCGTAGGTCTGGGTGGAAGAGAAAATTCGTGTTAGGTGAAACCGACACTGGCATCTCTGCAGACAGCAGGGGGCGCCACCTTCTGCACGTGGTTGATCTCATCATGCTTCCTCTTCTGGTTGCGCGTGATCTTCCTCTCGGGCTGATCGCCGAGGTCTCCGACTCCTCCAACCTCCGAGTTTTTCCTCACGGCGTCCTTCACTGTCTTGGTGAGCGCCAGCCGGTTCTTCCCCACCCACTCGTCCAGGCGCCGGTTAACTGCAGTCCAAACGTCAAACTCTCAGTCCCTCTGAAAGACAGGTGATGGTGCAGGTTCTGGTTCTGCTCAGATACTCACATCCCACATAGTGGACATAGAACTCCTCCCGGGCCTCCTGCTCGTTGAGGCGGGACTGGATCACCTCGGCCATGTCTACAACAGCAACACAGTCGGTCAGCTCCACCTCAACGCAGGAGCAACATCAGAGAACATTAGACACTCCCCACACCTGGACACACTTCATGACTGAAATAAATATTTCTAAATAAAGCTTTTCTTTAAAGAGGACTCTGATATTTAAATTCATTATTTAAATAGCTAGATTTAATTATCTCTTGGCATATTTAATTATTTATTTGCATATTCCAAAATTTCTTTACATATTTAATTTATTGGTAAAAAGGACTATTTAATGATGTATATACATTCAATTAATGGGACATTTACACATGTAAATAGTTATTGGATATAGTTATTTAACTTAGTCACCCCTAATTCTATAACTAAGCTCCATTATAAATCTTTTAGCAAATTTATAGTCCAGATTTCTTAAAAGCAGCAGAATAGCTCTTCAGTGAGACTACGAATCGGACGCCAACTTCGGCCTCATAAACAAAAACAATTTATTTCTACAGACATTTTTATTCGTCACAAACTAATATCCAAACCGTTATATGTTTGAAATAAGCTTATTGTTCAGAGCGATGATTCTATGACAGCTGAAACACCTCTAGCTTAACATAAATATAAATTATTCTTGTTTTACATATTTCTGTCTCAAATAATGAAAGGTTTTCAGCAAAACTAAATCATAGATGGAGTTAAGCCATGTTTTCACATACGCCATGTTTTATCGGTTCTTTGACACAAATACGTCTCTCCAATTTCCACCGACACTTCTTGCTCCTTGCCGATGCCTCTATCGGCGCCTTCATCCGGTGTGAGCTGGTCACTCGAGCCCCCGGTTTCTCGGGGCCTGCACAGGCCCTCCGCGTCGTCCTCCTCCCCGCCGCTGCCGTTGGACGAGCACGCAACGGGAACGCTGCTGTCCAGGTCTCCCCGCTCGCTCTCCGTCCGGCTGGAATCCACATCCACGTCCATGCTGGGCTCCGAATCCTTGTTGTTGCTGCAGCTCTTCCCGCCAGTCATATTACTTGGACTACTGGAGCTACGACTCCGCGCAGCCGCAGTTGTTGCCCCGCCCACAACCTAAACATGGGAGGTTCTTCTTCTTCGTTGATGTTTTTGTGGTGGTTGGTAACCATGTAAAAGCATCTTTACCGCCACCTATTGGGCTGGAAAGTATTACGGTATATACACACACACACACACACACACACACACACACACACACACACACACATTATAGACCTCCACAATTTTTTTGTTTACAGAAATAAAACAGGTCAATGTCAATTACAAAATTAACCACATTGTGTTTTCTAAAATTGCTCGTAGCAGTAAAAATTAAATGCTACCACTCCCAGACCTAAAATCCATCCATATTTGTCCCCCCCTCCACTGGGTTTGCATGGAATGGTTCGTTCCTGCTTGGAGCTTCATGGTGATGGTCTTCAGCAGCAGTCAGTAGAAGACAAGATCAACTGTTGCAGTTATAATGCTGCTAAAAAGATTATAAAATCAGTTATTCAAAAAATAGAGACATAGAGAGAGAAAAAGACGAGTGTCTATTTATAACCCAGTTTTTCTCCGAGAGGTGAGTAGACTGTGTGAGATTATCAACCATTTAGCATAGTTAGCTTAACTACAGACTACTGTTTTCCTCCAAAGCATTTAATGAATTAAGGAAAAGAAATATCAACATATTCATATATTTAATTCTTCCCTGTACCTTTTACCACTTGACAACAGGTGAGTCAGTCAGCAGCAGCTCTAACCACATACCAGCATAAACCCTCTTCCTCCCCGTCCCAGTGAAAAAACTGAGTAACACTGTGTTCAATGACAAGCTAGTTAGCATCATTTCAGGGAATCCATAGGGATTTCTCTGTGTCTTTTTGTTTGTTTGTTTGTTTGTTTGTTTAAACAATTACACAACAAAAACAATGTATTTGTTGCTGACAGAAATTCAAACAATCTTTATAAAATGATAATGAAAAGGGTAAGGCTGTCTCCGGGGAACGGTACGTCAGTGAAATGGTTCCCCGTAAGTTTGTCTTGGTGTTTGAAGTGTCTGTGTTGTTGATGTCATTGTATATTTTAAATGTTGGAATAAACTCTGAAAATGTATGACATGGAGCATTGACTGACAAGATGCATAGATTTACTTTTTCAAGTCTGGGGACCAAGGACTTCTGCATAAACTCTCAAGTCCACCTGTGTGACAGTCATCCGCAGCTTTTCATGTTTGGCTGACCGATAAACCTTTCTGCCAAAAACTTCAACACCAAATGTCTGTTA